GGGTCCTGTGGTGACTGTAACAGACTATAGAAGGATTCTCCCACGATCAACTTTTGCCAGGTTTTACAACCAGACTACTGTATATATGTACTTATTACTGCCAATTTCTCTACAATGAAAATAGTGTCATAGGTGGTAAAAGTACAGGTCAGGCACACTTAATACAGATTGTTTCATCATGTAAACTTTTCAAATTCATCCAAATCAGTAGTAAGCTATTCAATATACTAGTGCGCCTTTTCTAAAAAAATATTTTTAATATCTACACCTTCCAGATAAGATTTTGTAACTTTTTCATTGTTGGAATAAGAAGTGTAAATGTAGGAGATTCCATAATATACTGCCATCTGTGTAACTTAGAGGTAATTTGTAGATTGATATCCACAAATGCAGGTGACTGGGCAGGCCTAGCACATTGACCAATTATAACTTAATGTAATGTTTAAACCATGAAAAGTGATAAAATAAGATTATTGCTGAAATATGTCCATACATGTATACAGTAAATATATCCCACTACAGCTGATGTCTGTAGCAGTCCTTTCTACAGCTACACCATTCAGACTAGAGGAGGCTACACAGGGTATCAACTACCTCCAGGTCTTACAACCAGATTACAATTACTAGTACAGTCAACACAGCCAGAACAATTCTGGTACTGACTACACCAAACTGTAGGAACCCAACACAGCCAGAACAATTCTGGTACTGACTACCTGGTACACCACAGTGTAGGAACCCAACACAGCCAGATGAATTCTGGTACTGACTACACCAAAGTGTAGGAACCCAACAAAGCCAGAACAATTCTGGTATTGACTACACCAAAGTATAGGAACCCAACACAGCCAGAACAATTCTGGAACTGACTACACTAAAGTGTAGGAACCCAACACAGCCAGAACAACTCTGGTACTGACTACACCAAAGTGTAGGAACCCGACACAGCCAGAACAATTCTGGTACTGACTACCTGGTACACCAAAGTGCAGGAACCCAACACAGCCAGAACAATTCTGGTTTTGACTACACCAAAGTGTAGGAACCCAACACAGACAGAACAATTCTGGTACTGACTACCTGGTACCCCAAAGTGTAGGAACCCAACACAGCCAGAACAACTCTGGTACTGACAACACCAAAGTGTAGGAACCCAACACAGCAAGAACAATTCTGGTATTGACTACACCAAAGTGTAGAGTCAACACAGCCAGAACAATTCTGGTACTGACTACCTGGTACCCCAAAGTGTAGGAACCCAACACAGCCAGAACATTTCTGGAATTGACTACACCAAAGTGTAGGAACCCAACACAGACAGAACAATTCTGGTACTGACTACCTGGTACCCCAAAGTGTAGGAACCCAACACAGCCAGAACAATGCTGGTATTGACTACACCAAAGTGTAGGAACCCAACACAGCAAGAACAATTCTGGTATTGACTACACCAAAGTGTAGAGTCAACACAGCCAGAACAATTCTGGTACTGACTACCCGCTACACCAAAGTGTAGGAACCCAACACAGCCAGAACAACTCTGGTACTGACTACACCAAAGTGTAGGAACCCAACAAAGCCAGAACAATTCTGGTATTGACTACACCAAAGCTTAGGAACCCAACACAGCCAGAACAATTCTGGAACTGACTACACTAAAGTGTAGGAACCCAACACAGCCATAACAACTCTGGTACTGACAACACCAAAGTGTAGGACCCCAACACAGCCAGATGAATTCTGGTACTGACTACACCAAAGTGTAGGAACCCGACACAGCCAGAACAATTCTGGTACTGACTACACTAAAGTGTAGGAACCCAACACAGCCAGAACAACTCTGGTACTGACAACACCAAAGTGTAGGAACCCAACACAGCCAGATGAATTCTGGTACTGACTACACCAAAGTGTAGGAACCCAACACAGCCAGAACAATTCTGGTATTGACTACACCAAAGTGTAGGAACCCAAACTAAAGTGTAGGAACCCAACACAGCCAGAACAACTCTGGTACTGACAACACCAAAGTGTAGGACCCCAACACAGCCAGAACAATTCTGGTACTGACTACCTGGTACACGAACCCAACACAAACAGAACAATTCTGGTATTGACTACCCCAAAGTGTAGGAACCCAACACAGCCAGAACAACTATGGTACTGACTACACCAAAGTGTAGGAACCCGACACAGCCAGAACAATTCTGGTACTGACTACACCAAAGTGTAGGAACCCGACACAGCCAGAACAATTCTGGTACTGACTACCTGGTACACCAAAGTGTGGGAACCCAACACAAACAGAACAATTCTGGTATTGACTACACCAAAGTGTAGGAACCCAACACAGCCAGAACAATTCTGGTACTGACTACACCAAAGTGTAGGAACCCAACACAGCCAGAACAATTCTGGTATTGACTACACCAAAGTGTAGGAACCCAACACAGCCAGAACAATTCTGGTATTGACTACACCAAAGTGTAGGAACCCAACACAGCCAGAACAATTCTGGTATTGACTACACCAAAGTGTAGGAACCCAACACAGCCAGAACAATTCTGGTATTGACTACACCAAAGTGTAGGAACCCAACACAGCCAGAACAATTCTGGTATTGACTACACCAAAGTGTAGGAACCCAACACAGCCAGAACAATTCTGGTATTGACTACACCAAAGTGTAGGAACCCAACACAGCCAGAACAATTCTGGTATTGACTACACCAAAGTGTAGGAACCCAACACAGCCAGAACAATTCTGGTATTGACTACACCAAAGTGTAGGAACCCAACACAGCCAGAACAATTCTGGTATTGACTACACCAAAGTGTAGGAACCCAACACAGCCAGAACAATTCTGGTATTGACTACACCAAAGTGTAGGAACCCAACACAGCCAGAACAATTCTGGTATTGACTACACCAAAGTGTAGGAACCCAACACAGCCAGAACAATTCTGGTATTGACTACACCAAAGTGTAGGAACCCAACACAGCCAGAACAATTCTGGTATTGACTACACCAAAGTGTAGGAACCCAACACAGCCAGAACAATTCTGGTATTGACTACACCAAAGTGTAGGAACCCAACACAGCCAGAACAATTCTGGTATTGACTACACCAAAGTGTAGGAACCCAACACAGCCAGAACAATTCTGGTATTGACTACACCAAAGTGTAGGAACCCAACACAGCCAGAACAATTCTGGTATTGACTACACCAAAGTGTAGGAACCCAACACAGCCAGAACAATTCTGGTATTGACTACACCAAAGTGTAGGAACCCAACACAGCCAGAACAATTCTGGTATTGACTACACCAAAGTGTAGGAACCCAACACAGCCAGAACAATTCTGGTATTGACTACACCAAAGTGTAGGAACCCAACACAGCCAGAACAATTCTGGTATTGACTACACCAAAGTGTAGGAACCCAACACAGCCAGAACAATTCTGGTATTGACTACACCAAAGTGTAGGAACCCAACACAGCCAGAACAATTCTGGTATTGACTACACCAAAGTGTAGGAACCCAACACAGCCAGAACAATTCTGGTATTGACTACACCAAAGTGTAGGAACCCAACACAGCCAGAACAATTCTGGTATTGACTACACCAAAGTGTAGGAACCCAACACAGCCAGAACAATTCTGGTATTGACTACACCAAAGTGTAGGAACCCAACACAGCCAGAACAATTCTGGTATTGACTACACCAAAGTGTAGGAACCCAACACAGCCAGAACAATTCTGGTATTGACTACACCAAAGTGTAGGAACCCAACACAGCCAGAACAATTCTGGTATTGACTACACCAAAGTGTAGGAACCCAACACAGCCAGAACAATTCTGGTATTGACTACACCAAAGTGTAGGAACCCAACACAGCCAGAACAATTCTGGTATTGACTACACCAAAGTGTAGGAACCCAACACAGCCAGAACAATTCTGGTATTGACTACACCAAAGTGTAGGAACCCAACAAAGCCAGAACAATTCTGGTATTGACTACACCAAAGTGTAGGAACCCAACACAGCCAGAACAATTCTGGAATTGACTACACCAAAGTGTAGGAACCCAACACAAACAGGATGAATGTTTTGTAAAAGAAAACAATATTAAAACTTCAGTAATGTAATTAAATTCAAACTCTTAGGTCATTAAAATTAAATGAACAAGACTGTTAGTGGGCAATAAATTAATCATTTCAAAAGTACCCACATGTTAGATAGTTGTGCATGTCAAAGCCATTTACACCAAGACGAGCGAACTCTGTCCTATCGATTAGTGCAAAGGTATTGCTGTTTTGTACAAAGTTCTACTCTATACAAAATTAGCAATAATAATGCTTAATGCCAATCTAATAATAACCTCAAATTTTGCAAGACTACTGTTAATTTTCTTTTAATTTTTCTCCAAATGTGTGGGTTTAAATGCATTATTATTTTAATTGAAACACAATTCCGTTAATTTTTTAGTGATATAAATGAAATTTGAGTGAAGTATGACAATCTAAAGATGTTGTCCTATAAGGTGGGTTCCTTTTTCTATTTTTACTTACACAATGCTGAAAATCAAAGAAAAATTCATCAACAGATTTATAGAATCATATGGAAAATATATATTAAATGCTTCAGTCATAGAACTGAAACAGCTCGCAGGAAAACCATATCAGACGATTGTGCTCTAACCTTGCATAAATGCAGTGAAAAAGAAACCCATAAAAATATTACCAAGAAACAGATAAATATATACATGATACTTAAGACCAGATGCAGTATATGTAAGATAAAAAAGTCTCTCTATATATATATGACCTTTGTTTACTCAGGCTTACTATAAAGCAAAATGAATGAAATTACAGAGAATAAAAGCATATCACAAAACACAGGAAAATCTTTGGTTAATTTGTAGAAAACTCTCAAGAAGCAAGCTTTATATCTATTTTACAATATGCCCCCGCGGAGATTTCTCTTGCCTTACCTGCGTTGTAGATACTTCTGTATACTGGGGTTGGTGATCATTTTACACTGGTCTAACAATCTGTCAATAGCCATAGCTCGGGCCTACAACATAAAAAATACTAATCTTACAAATCAGTTTACCTCAGAAGTGAATAAAAGTATACAACATATGAACTTGTAATACAGTCTACAGGTACCATTCTCTGACACAATCAACGTAGAACAGGCTGTGACTACGGCCCGTGTGTAAAAAAGTTGTGGAGTATAATGTCTAGCTCTGGTTTCATGAATCATCTATGAAATCAAAGTATGATTCTATTGATATAAATTGTTTGAAAAGGGGTGAACTTATTAGCAGCAGTAAAATACAATACATATATTAGAATACAATTCCTCAAGATTCCCATCTGTAGCAAAAAAACATAGAAAAAATAAATAATAATGACAAGAAAATTATCATCTAAATTTGATAGCAAAACAGTACAGGCAGGGAAGCCATGGGTAAATGAAGCTTAACTTCATAGCTAGAGGTAATAGGAAAACTGTCCATAATTGAAATATTAACATATTTAGGAAACAAGAGGCCCATTGAGCCTAGATCATTAATCTGTTTCTATTTGAACTAGACAATAAACATTTTACCACTTTATACGATGCATGTAGCCATTTGGATTTGATATTGAAACCAACAACCATAACAATAACACTTGGAAATTTTCAACATTTCTGATCCCTGTTACCTTGAAATATTAGTCACTGATCCCTGTTACCTTGAACAAGCTTGCTTACACTTCAACCCAGCAAGCTACAGACTAAATAACATGACCCTAGGACCTATAGATCTTGATAAGTCATTCAGTAGTAGAAGTTGATGACAGACGTACACCACACCAAGACATTTAAGCTTACAGCCCGCAGTTTGTGACAGGTGATACAAAACCCCAGAGTTTAAATGTTATTAGTTTATATTCAATAACCAACGACTCGATCATAAACCAGAGAACTCTGATGTGTTCAAAGTGACAAGATTTAGAATGGGATTAAGTTAGCATTTTATAGCAGTTAAGAGTTAGCCAGATCAGTAACAAATCAAATGTTGGAGAATAAAGTCCATCGCGGACTCCAAGATGTTGACCAATTAAGCTGCTGCACTTGAGTTTAAATCTCATTGTCCTGATATTTGTCTTCAAGGCTTCGTATAGTGACTCAGGCTAAATGGGTTAGAAAACACCAAAGAAATATGATGTTTCACAATGTGGATTGGCCAGTACTCTGGGGAGCTGATATCATTTCAAATCGGAATAGCTAATACCCTCGAGCAATCCGATTACTGAAGGCTGATTAGCTAATTTGATTTTGATGGCTTAAAATCAGAGCAGAAATTTCATTTCCAAATCCATGTATCAACATTGAAATGAAAATGTTATAGCCCAGTTCCACTTTTGACAAAATTAAAAAAAATCAATTTCAGATGGTAAAAAATGGACCGGATATCCATTAGGGTGATCACAAGTTTCCATTAGCCGGGACGTTACAATGTAATATGGTTATCAGCAGAACAAACTGGCACAGGGTTTGAATCCAAAGGGCGATCCTTAACCATCACATTTTCAGCCAAGTGAGTCAAAGTAAAGTGAAACCTAATGTATTTGATAAAGGGCTATTTTGATTTCAATCAATAGTAATAAAATATATACTTCTTCAGATATGTATTATGCATGACAGTTATTGAAGCTTGGCTGTTGTTTATTAGACATTATGATACCCCAAGAGTACTCTTGATGGTAAAATATCTCTCTTTGTGAATTCCGCTAGCAAAATCTGACTTCTGGTTTAAATCAGCCTAACAGTGTAAAAGCAATCATTTCACTGTGCAATCTGGTCACAAGTGAACTGCATATCAAATTTGAATCACGGCATATCTCGAGGTTTTGTCTGGACTGTGATGGCAGAAGAACGGCGTACCTGAGAACAGTATGGTGATACAAATCTTGGCTGTGATGATACATCTTCTGCAGTGAGAACCTTGGCACAATGAGCAGATTTGTATTGAATTATCTGGAGTCAATATTGACAAACAAGTCTTGGCTGTGATACATGTGGAACAATGCCTACCCTGAGAGGCCGACTCAACACATGCAATTTCAAAGCAGTCTCTCAGTGATTATACATGACAACAAGAGACCAAGAGGGCCTGTATTGCTCACCTGAATCTTTAAGCAGTCTAAGCAATTATTCTCATTAAATATTATATTGTACTACAAATTTGTCACTAACAAACTTTGTCCACTCCATCTGTTGAAAGTACCAGTGAGATATTATTATAAGATTTTTACGCTTTTTGGCCATTGTTCTCCAAATATTATGATTTTATGCCTTTCAATTTTTCTTCAGAGGTCGCTCGATGTTTTTGACATATTTGACACCTGTGACCTTGAAAAAGGTCAAAGTCATTTTCATTCTCAAACTTTGTCAGGCTCTATCCCAGAAAGCCACCAGCCAAATATAAAGGTTCTATAAAATTTAGTTCTTCAGAAGAAATTGTTTAAAGAGTTTGACATATTTGACCACTGTGACCTTTAATGTAGGTCAAGGTCATTTTCTCTCTCAAACTTTGTCTGGCTCTATCTCAGGAAGCCACCAGCCAAATCTAAAGATTCTGTATCGTTTGGTTCTTCAGAAGAAGTCGTTTAAATAGTGTGACATATTTGACCCCTGCGACTTTGAAAGCAGGTCAAGGTCATTTTCGTTCTCAAAATTTGTTGGGCTCTTTTCCAGGAAGCCACCAGCTAAATATAAAGATTCTATACCTTTTAGTTCTTCAGGAGAAGTCATTTAAAGAATTTGACATATTTGACCCCTGTGACCTTGAAAGTCGGTCAAGGTCATTTTCATTTGCAAACTTTGTTGGGCTCCTACCAAGGAAGCTTTTAGCCAAATATCATGACTCTAGGACTATCCATTCTTCAGAAGAAGTTGTTTTAAGGAAAGGTGAGGTAAAAACCCTGCCGGGTGTAAGATAGCTGTATCTTGATTGTACATAGTTATGACCGTGTCCAGGTGAAAAAAACATCTCTATAACTTACATCATCTGAGGGTACCACACATGGCCTCAGATGACAGATAATGCTTCCGGTTGTTTGTACATGAATGTAGTGCATTTCTTAATTTTTGGCTGGATATCAAAATGTGTTTTTATTTCCTTTATGTGAATGAAATGAAACTTATTATACATCAAACCAAATTGACCACATTTACATGGTACAGCATCCTTGGCCACATTTACATGGTACAGCATCCTTGGCCACATTTACATGGTACATATTTCTTGGCCACATATACATAGAACATCTTTCTGGACTACAAATTGGCTTATTAATTTCTTGGCCTTCAAGGTTAGGTGACCCAAAGTATAAGAACAGAAATCCCTTCTACGAAACTGCAATCCTGATAAGTAACCAAGGAACAGAACAAGTATCTAAAGGACAAGGAACTACATAAATAAGGTATAGTTTTATAACTTGTTAGATATCTAGGTTTTATTTTCAAAAACACTTAAGAAAGATAGCAAGTAGCTATATGTATAGGTAGCTTATGTTCTCTCCCTAAGGATTGTCTTTGAGGATTTCCCATCAGATCTGTGTGGAGAATAGACAGGTATTGCGCCCTAATAGTACCAGTTACATCTCTAATCCAACATGTTGCACACAAAATGATCGTAAATGTAGAAGTACGTAAGAATTATCACGAATGTAAGACAAAAGAAATTTTAGTCTTTTAAATGGATCATGCGATGCATTCACACTTTTCTGCAGCAATTCATTGGTGATACTTTATCTGGCATGTCTTCAACACAGCTTTTATCACAAAATGGTCAACAAACTTACATTTGCCATCAATTAAAAAACCTTCATACATACATGTTTTATACAAAAACACTGAAAATTCACATGTAATGTATAGTGTTGACACTTGGTATCTGCGTTTGGATGTGACAAGAGTTTGTGAGAGTTTAATGGATGAAAAGGCCAAGCCTGTAGTGAGACCCCAGGGTGATAGCTCACATTAGATCTAAGTCTAGCTGTGTTTTTGTCATAGTCCAACCATCAGCTAATACACAGACACAAAAGCCCAGGCATGTCAGTAAATAAAACTAATCCACCTGCTGAATTATAACAAGAGGCCCAAGAGGGCCTGTATTGCTCACCTGAATATTTTTGCACTAAAAATATTTCCCTCGCAAACTTTGTTGGCTCCATCTGTTGAAACTACCAGCAAAGTATTATTATAAGATTCTATGCTTTTTGATTCTTCTTCAGAAGTTGCTGACATATTTTTCCCTGTGATCTTGTAAGTAGGTCAATGTCATTTTCCTTCTCAAATTGGTTAGCTCTATTCCAAAAAGCTACCAGCCAAATCTTATGAATCCATTCCTTTTAGTTCTCAAGAACAAATCCATTAAAATGTTGTTGACCTCTGTGACCTCTAAAGTAGGTTGAGGTCATTTTCATTTGCAAACTTTGGTGAGCTCTATCCCGGGAAGTCACCAGCCAAATATTATAATTTTATGCCTTTTAATTCTTCAGAAGAAGCTGTTTGAACTGTTTGACATATTTGAACGCTGTGACCTTGAAAGTAGGTCAAGGTCATTTTCATTCGCAAACTTTGTTTGGCTCTTTCCCAGGAAGCCACCTGCCAAATATTAAGATTTTATAACTACCAGTTCTTCAGAAGAAGTCGTTTAAAGTGTTTGACATATCTGCCTCATGTGACCTTAAAAGAAGGTCAAGGTCATTTTCATTCTCAAACTTTGTTCGGCTCTTTCCTAGGAAGCTACAAGCCAAATATAGAGATTATATACCTTTCAGTTCTTCAGAAGAAGTCGTTTGAAGTGTCTGACACATTTGACTCCTGTGACCTTGAAAGAAGGTCAAGGTCATTTTCATTCTCAAACTTTGTCGGGCTCTATCCAAGGAAGCCATCAATCAAAAATAAAGATTCTATACCTTTCAGTTCTTCAGAAGAAGTCATTTGAAGCTTTTGACATATATGACCCCTGTGACCTTGAAAGTAGGTCAAACTAGTTTTCATTCTCAAACTTTGTTGGGCTCTATCCCAGGAAGCCACCAGCCAAATATAAAGATTATATACCTTTCAGTTCTTCAGAAGAAGTCGTTTGAAGTGTTTGACACATTTGACCCCTGTGACCTTGAAAGAAGGTCAAGGTAATTTTCATTCTCAAACTTTGTTGGGCTCCATCCCAGGAAGCCATCAGCCAAATATGAAGATTCTATACCTTTTAGTTCTTCAGAAGAAGTCGTTTGAAGTTTTTGACATATTTGACCCCTGTGACCTTGAAAACAGGTCAAGGTCATTTTCGTTCTCAAATTTTGTAGGGCTCCTACCAACGAAGCTTTCAGCCAAATATCATGACTCTAGGCCTGTCCGTTCTTCAGAAGAAGTTGTTTAAAGGTGCCAGGTGAGCTAAAGATATCAATGTCACCCCTTCCAGAAACATTCCCCAGGTCTTCGAGACAAAGTAAAATGTCACATATGCTGATGTACAGGTTTAGTAGGTGACTACCATACCAAAGTCAGGAACTTGAACAGGCAGGAGATGTCACTTCATCCAGAAACATTCCCAAGGTATTGGAGACAAAGTAAAATGTCACATATGCTAATGTACAGGTTTAGTAGGTGACTACCATACCAATGTCAGGAACTTCAACAGGCAGGAGATGTCACTTCATCCAGAAACATTCCCCCGGTCTTTGGAGACAATTTTAAATTATCCTGTAAGCTGTATAGGTTAAGTCCTTAATTGTAGGCTTTTAGCCATACCAAAGTCAGATGCTGTCCACCACCAACCTATGTATAACTCTTTTTGTGTGCAGTCAACTATAATTTCTTTTTTGTTTAATGTTTAAGTGGCTAATGTTACTATTTTTTCCTGTGAATGTTTAGCACACCTGTTATCCCGCCTACCTGTTGGAACCGCCTGTGTGGGACATTTTGGGTGCTGGTCTTTACACCTCAAAATTATCATCTTTGTAATCATCTACATCTACTCACTTCCACTCAAACATGTCGTTGATATTACCAGCTACAATCACAACTTCTAAAGCTAAATGCAGTATAATCTGCGAGATTCCCATGTGTTTTATTTGTAAAATTATAACTTCAACATGTTGTGGAAATCCCTGTCTGAGATGGAGAAACAAAGGGGAGTGTATTTAAAGTTTACTCCTACAAAACAAGATGAAATCGGTCATGTGCAGTGACTAATGGGACACTCAAGTGCTCCGAAAAAGTTTCCATCATGATATATAAATCCTACGGGAAATGCAGTGAGAAACACAAATAAGACAGTCGGCATTGAAATGTCAGAATCAAAGTGTAGACTAGACTTTGACGATGTGTTTAAAACAGACATCACACAGCTTAATTTTTGCTGGTGGGTGAATGTGCATGCTGAACAGATACATTTTTGATTATCAAATAAAATGGTAATACAAGAACATGTTAAAAATCAGGCCTTTTGACAGAAAAAAGAACATGGTATACAGCAATTATCCTACCTTCAAACATCACATTGGTACACAAATATACAGAGCATTGTCTATAATACTTTGTATGCACTCAGTGTGGTATATCTTACCTTGTGTACACTCAGTTTGGTATATCTTACCTTGTGTACACTCAGTGTGGTATATCTTACCTTGTTTACACTCAGTGTGGTAAATGACTTACCTTGTTTACACTCGGTATGGTATATCTTAACTTGTGTACACTCAGCGTGGTATATATCTTACCTTGTGTACACTCAGTGTGGTATATATTACCTTGTGTTCACTCAGTGTGGTGTATCTTACCTTATGTACACTCAGTGTTTAACTTGTGTACACTCAGCGTGGTATAATGGTATATCTTACCTTGTGTACACTCAGTGTGGTATATCTTACCTTGTGTACAATCAGTGTGGTATATATTACCTTGTGTACACTCAGTTTGGTATATATATTATCTTGTGTACTCAGTGTGGTATATATCTTACCTTGTGTACACTCAGTATGGTATATCTTACCTTGTGTACACTCAGTGTGGTAAATATTACCTTGTGTACACTCAGTGTGGTAAATGACTTACCTTGTTTACACTCAGTGTGGTATATCTTACCTTGTGTACACTCAGTGTGGTAAATATTACCTTGTGTACACTCAGTGTGGTAAATGACTTACCTTGTTTACACTCAGTGTGGTATATCTTACCTTGTGTACACTCAGTGTACACAAGGTAATATTTACCACACTGAGTGTACACTCAGTGTGGTATATATCTTACCTTGTGTACACTCAGTGTGGTATATCTTACCTTGTGTACACTCAGTATGGTATATCTTACCTTGTGTACACTCAGTGTGGTATATATTACCTTGTGTACACTCAGTTTGGTATATATTATCTTGTGTACACTCAGTGTGGTATATATTATCTTGTGTACACTCAGTATGGTATATCTTACCTTGTGTACACTCAGCGTGGTGTATATTATCTTGTGTACACTCAGTGTGGTATATATTATCTTGTGTACACTCAGTGTGGTATATATTATCTTGTGTACACTCAGTGTGGTATATATCTTACCTTGTATACACTCAGTGTGGTATATATATTATCTAATGTATAATCAGTGTGGTATATCTTACCTTGTGTACACTCAGTGTGGTATATATCTTATCTTGTGAACATTCAGTGTGGTATATATATTACCTCGTGTACACTCAGTGAGGTATGTATTATCTTGTGTACACTCAGTGTGGTGTATCTTACCTTATGTTCACTTAGTGTCTTGGTGTACACCTGGATCCCTTCCATAACACTGTCCACCATGGCCGAGTACAACTGAACTAGAACTCTGTGTAATAAATTACATGAATTAGTGCCAAAGAAATCATTTGAATCAAAGATATTCAGACGCTCATTTATAATGGATTGTCTCAAAACTAGAAAATATCTGTAAGACATGAATTCCTATGCCAATATGTAAGTTTGTTTTCATTATCTGACAATTTTCTAAAATTAGTAGAACTCGTTGTGACTTTCATCAAGACGTCAGATTGATCAAAATCCATAAAATAAAGTTGTTGCTTGAGCAATGACACTGAATCTTAAAACCATGAAACACATATTTATCTAAGGTATTCCCATAATTGACATTTGTCTAATGTTTTATCAAAAGCCGTTCAAAAACTAAGTTGCTCGAGTGCTGACGCTGAATCATGGCCTCATCTAAGTAGTTCTTATAACTTCGTTTTTGTATAAAGTTTGCTCGAAATCTGTTTGAAAATGAAATTGTTTAAATGGCAGGCATCAATTAAAACACATTTTATTCCTCATTTTGAGAAGACTAATAGTTTGTAAATGCCTACCTTGTTTCCTCGTCTTCAGCCACATAATCATCATAGGAACCTGTAAACACAGACAGAAACAATATAATTCACCAGTAAAATTTCAGCTCTGTGTGAAATACTTTGAAAGCTAGGTACATAGACACTGTAGGAAATGGAAGTGTTGGTATGTACCTCCATGTTTATTGTACATCTGGTATGTACCTCCATGTTTATTGTACGTCTGGTATGTACCTCCATGTTTATTATGAACTATTGCGGATATAGTTTGTTACTGTAGACAAAGAATTTGGTCAAGAATCTAATTTTCATGAATTCTGTAACAGTGGACATATATAGGACTGTTATAAACAAGAGTTCAAAGCAAGCATTTATTTTTTTTCATTTTTTATCTCATCACTTATTGTTGGTGGAAGCAGATGACCCATGTGCGTCCTTTGACTTTGTGCTAGAAAACAATCACAATTTCAGATATCGGGCCAGTCTTTTATGTTTTCACACAAGTTACCTTATTACATCACCAGGTTACTGTACCATTGTAAGTACATTTGTATACTATATAACACCCATCACTATCAGCTGTATAAGTTTAAATTGAAGTGCATTAGGCATTCTGACTATTAGCCCCTTTAAAGACGACTATAATATGTCTATATGTGGGTACTCACTGCTGAGTTAATTTGAAGAACAAAAGAGACTTTGACTGAGTGATTATACTGTCTATAACAAGTTGCATATACATTTTTTATAAAGACAATCTATACAAATTATGTTGGGTATGGTCTAAGCTACACATTTGTTCACTTTTTCTACAAAAGTAGAATCTTGTTAAGGATTCACAGGTAAAAAATGCAGGTAAAGGTGTGATAATTATGTCAAAAATCTTTGATCATTTTCATTTCAACATAAGTTATACACAATATAAGCTTATCATATATTACATACCGTTTTATATATATAATGTGAAAATATTTCATTTGTTTGACAGTGTTTTCAGGTGTACCGCAGGTGTCACAGGTGAATCAATTACCTAATTGAAATAAAGTTTCAATAGTTTTCTTTCATGTTTTTTTTTTCTTATTTCATTGAAGTCTGTGCATATATATATGTAAAGAAACAATACTATAAATGTAACCTTGCACTAAAGTCTGTTCGATCTTTCTAACTATACCAGGTTTTGTGTAATATTACAGGTGTAATTTTATTCGTCATCAGCAGCCACAGGTCGTTGTCTGACAGGAGTAAATTGGAGAGAATGTTCACAAACCGATCTGGTGGCATTTTTTTGTTAAAAAAATGGAGAAATAATTGTATCATCAGAAGCCAAATATGTGTTAATATATCTGATTTTTGAACCAGACCCATTGCAATTACAATACCAAAAAACACTTTCATTTCATCTAGTGTCACTGGCGTCCATTTCCGTATGCGACTGTGTGTTGGTAAACCTTTTTTATTCTTGCGTTTATCAGCATACATATTAGTTTGCTGTACTATAACTGCTAGATATTCATCACTGAGAAATAATTTTAAAAAGGCGATTGGCTCTGTTGGATCGATGTCAATATTTAGTTTGGATTCCCCAGTGAAAGGGGCGAACATAGGTGTTATATCATCGTCATCCCAACCTTCAGCTAAATCGATCGGTGAAACATCATCATTTTCCGGTGAAAAATCACTCATCAGAAGTTCAGCAAGAACACAACCAATTCTGACAATATCATCCTCATCAAACCCTTCATAACTGTTTTCACTATCACTACTTTCATTCAGAATTTGGCAAATTAAAACATTGTTCTCGGAATCACTTTCACTGGACGACGCCATCTTTGATCGCTAACATCCGCTCGCCAGGTAAGGTGTGTTGAGCGGTGCATATCTCATTATCGGCAACTCTATTCTTACTATTCATATCAGAAATGCTAGTTCAGGGCCTCAACTTGCTTTCTCATTTGCATACACTTAACCTAGATGAATTATAACGGGCCCGGATGTTACCTAATATGGCAGTTACTAATATCGACATTTGTCTTGATCAGCGGTGAGGGACCAGAATGTACGGTGCGACAGATGTTGTGAACAGCTCTTAAAGGGTTAGAAGAGTCCATCATATGAGGAGGAATGGTAGGCTAGTGGTAGGACGCCGGGCTCGTGATCGAAGGGTTGAAGATTCGTGTCACGTAACAGCACTGTGTTGAAGCTTTGAGCAAGATACTTTACTCTGCTTGTTCCAGTCTACTCAGCTGTAAATGAGTACGTGGTTGGGCAGTGCTAGAATTTGTTGAATGCTAGTTGGAGTGCCGAAATGGCAGCACCGGCTGTATGCTCCCCAGGAGTTGAGAAAGATGTTGGCTGGTTGCAAAACCATATAACCATGGATAATAATTTGTGAACCGCTTTGAGACAACCTACGAACTAGGTTGTGATAAAGCGGTATATAATAACCTAGTACCTTAAAGTTAAAAATCCATTAAACAGACCTTCAGGGCAAGCTTGTACAACCATTTTTATGTTCTTGAGGTGGTGTAACTTGCCGACGGCAAGATTGTCACAGTCGGTCAAACAATGTTTTGAAGCATTTTTCAATTTGACGTCATAATAAAACACAATCATCCAATTGTGACATCACAAACAAGAGGCCCATGGGCCTAAACGGTCACCTGAGTCTACAGTATTTATTTTTGTTGTTGAAATATGTACCAATTTGAGTAAAAAATAGTATAATGTTAACTTAACTTTGTCAGGACCATGAGCTGATCATTCCTAGACCAATTTTAAGTGAGATCGGCCTATTAGAACTTAGTAGCAAAATAGCGGCCATGGCAGCCAAATTGTATTTCTGATTGACCCGAAAAATAACAACACTTTGTCAGGACCATGATTCGATCATTCCTACAAAGTTTCAGTTCAATCGGCCAAGTAGATCTTTACTTTAAGTTTGAAATAGTTTTCCAAAATGGCAGCTGTGGTGGCCATATTGGATTTCTGATCGACCTGAAAAATAACAACACTTTGTCAGGACCATGAGTCAATCATTCCTACAAAGTTTCAGTTCAATCGGCCTAGCAGAACTTGACTTTAAGTTTGAAATATGTTTTCAAAATGGTGGCCGTGGCGGCCATATTGGATTTATGATTGACCTGAAAAATAACAACACTTTGTCAGGACCATGAGTCGATCATTCCTACAAACTTTAAGTTCAATCGGTCCAGCAGAACTTGACTTTAAGTTTGAAATAGGTTTTCAAAATGGCGGCCGTGGCGGCCATATTGGATTTCTGATCGACCCGAAAAATAACAACACTTTGTCAGGACTATGAGGCGATCATTCCTACCAGCTTTCAGTTCAATCAGCCCAGCAGAACTTGACTTTAAGTTTGAAATGTAAAATGTTAACGGACGACGGATGACGGACGATGACGGACGAAAACGGATAGCAATAGGTCACTTGAGCTAAAGCTCAGGTGACCTAAAAACCATGTGGGATACACATATCCCGGAGCATTCCACAGATGTGTTTCATCAAACACAATATGTACATCCAAGCTTAACACTTGTCAATCTATCAACCAATGCTATCTTGTTAGAGAGTCATCAGATGTAAGGCTTTGCTTTTAAGCTCTCAATTTAAGGGATAAAAACAGGCCATGAAGACCCTAGAACACAAGCACTTTTGACGGTACATCAAAGTTAACATGTACTTTGTGTGACAATTAAATTAAATTCCATGAGGTATATGTAATTCAGTACGTATATTAAGTATTATAGTTTCAGATATCTGTTAGTGCTACGATTTATTACCATTACAAATCTATAAACTTTCTACTCTTGAAGCCTCCATCGCTGTTCTTTAAGAGCCCCTACTGCCATTCTGATAAGTATCTACTATTGGATCTAGATAACCATTATGTAAACTTTCAACCCTTAGAGCCCCAATTAACATTATGTACACCCTCCACTAGTTAAGACCCTGTATCACCAGTCTTGTCCACTCCTTGAGACCCTGTATCAACAATCTTGTCCACTCTTTGAGACCTTGTATCACCAATCTTGTCCACTCTTTGAGACCCTGTATCACTAGTCTTGTCCACTCTTTGAGACCCAGGTGTATCACCAGTCTTGTCCATTCCTTGAGACCCTGTATCACCAGTCTTGTCCACTATTTGAGACCCTGTATTACCAGTCTTGTCCACTCTTTGACACCCTGTATCACTAGTCTTGTCCACTCTTTGAGACCCTGTATCCCCAGTCTGTCCACACTTTGCGACCCTGTATCACCAGTCTTGTCCACTCTTTGAGACCCTGTATCACTAGTCTTGTCCACTCTTTGAGACATTGTATCACCAGTCTGTCCACTCTTTGAGACCCTGTATTACCAGTCTTGTCCACTCTTTGAGACCCTGTATCACTAGTCTTGTCCACTCTTTGAAACCCTGTATCACTAGTCTTGTCCACTCTTTGAGACCCTGTATCACCAGTTTGTCCACACTTTGAGACCCTGTATCACCAGTCTCGTCCACTCTTTGAGACCCTGTATCACCAGTCTCGTCCACTCTTTGCGACCCTGTATCACCAGTCTCGTCCACTCTTTGAGACATTGTATCACCAGTATGTAAACGGTTCACCCTTGGAGCCCCCATTACCATTATGTACATCCTCCACTCTTTGAGACCCCATAACACCATTCTAAACTCCCCAATTGTAGAGCCCCCCTTAGCTGTTCTGTAAAACCTCCATGTTGGAGAAACAATCATACACCCTCATTGAGTCATTGGTCTGTGACAGATGTGTCGATCAGCGACTGAACAGGTTTATATAGATAACATTGTAACGACAATTTACATCCAGTCTGTTCATATTTCTGTCAACAACAACACAAAGACACAAAAGTTAAATATCATCATAGCTGACATGCACTTTCCAGAAAACATCAATCATGAAACCAGACTGTATCAAGTTATAGTTGAATATAAACATCTTTGTCAGTTTTATTAGAAGTGGTCGTCCTCCATGACTCCATACCTATCTGTCATCTGAGTGTTTATCATTCTGCCATTACAAC